GAGACACTGACCTAGAACACATGCAAATAAACTTGGATAGTATTTTCCTTATAGAACTTTAATTCTTAAATGCTAATTTCTAAGGGTACCACTTTATTGGTATTTCTTTTTGGACATTCTTCACTTTTTACTTTTGGTTTTGACTTTTACCCTTGCCTGCACGAATGACGAAACACGAATTGAATGATTGGAGAGTTAGGTTTGGAGGCAACTTCCCCTTGAAAAGTCTGTCTCCTGCCTGCTCAATAGTCATTCACTTATGCATTTTTTAAAAAATTGTTTGGATTAATTAATTTTAATTTGCTATATTAGTGAATTAATTTTCATGGATTGGTTTTGCACTTGATTTGCTTATGCTTCTGAATTTAAATGATATTGTAGATTAGTTCGATAATTAAATCTTTTATATGTTTACACATTTTTAAAAATTTTTTTGGCTTTAAATTTGCTTTTTTACTTTTATATGTGTTTGTTAAAATTTAAATTTAATTTGTTTAAATTTATTATTTATATATATATATATAAAAAGGCCATCTGAAATTGAGTCAATCATTTTAAATAAACCAGTATAATACAATTCAAATATCAATGCAAATGCTTTAAAATTCAGCCAAAGAATGATGTTTTTAACTCTCCATAACCTAAAGAAGTACATAACACTTTGCTGGGAAAGCATGCAGACCTAGCACAGTTAATTATCGGACTTTATTGTAGACAGAAGATACAATAAAGCTATTTTTAATCCCTTGGTATAAAAAATTATATCATATTACAAAAAAAAAAATGAAAGTATCTGGAGGAAAACAGAAGTCATTTCACATAAGCACAAAAAGTTGCATGATAAAAATTCTTAAAATTAATATTTGTGTATCCTGAAAAGAGACTCAAAGTGCAAAAAAATTAATGGCAGAAGATAAAATCTATACATACAATAGCAAAATTAAAAATTCCAAGCTATGAAACTGAAATGTGATTTTAGAAAAATTCAGTTTGTTAAATTACATCTTTTCGAAACTAGCACTTTAATATTTTCATTCATTAACAGAAAATGATGATAAAAGAAAAACAAAACAAAAAAAAAAAAAAAAAAAGATCAAAAATATATGTTTAAAAATGCAGCTATAAAGACAATATAAACGGTAGACTACAAAAACGATATAAACAACTTAAAAAACTATAAATGTAATCTTTGAAATTGAACTTCAAAAATAATTACATTAAGATTACTTAGAGTTTAAAATTATCAGAAATGATAAAATTTGAGAAGAGGTATGTACAGAAATACAAATTTAAATTTTCTAAATAAAATTAAAAATGTAAAATGCAAACCAATTTCTCCATTAATACATTTATACTAAAAATATATTTGCACAGTCAACCACACAGAAATATAGATTTATATTTACCAAAGAAAATTACTAACATTCACACAGAATTCCTACTTTAATACATTTATACTAAAAAATATATCTGCACAGTCAATATTGTTCTCCGACTGTGTTATGCAAACACTCATTGCATAATACACCTAAGTGCATATGTATAGTTTTTTCAGAGGTAAAACTAGTGTGTATATTAGTTTTCTAAAGAATAAATAGCCAATAAAACTAAGTAGTTTAATAGAAACAGTCACTGACTGAATACTAATTAATGTCAATTGTAAGAGTTTAGACTGTACTTTTTAAAAGAATTTTTGATTACTTGTCTTGAAATTTAGCATCCTAGACTTCCATTAAAAAAAAGCGTTGGCGAAAATACTAGGCAATAATTTAAAAGAAAAAAGCAAAACCACTAATGCTTCTATATGTAAAAAAAAAATTAAAAACAGAATAGTTTTGATAGTTAATCTCAAGAATTCTCATACCTGCTGAAAATCAAGATTGCTCTTATTTCAATAAAGCCTAAAAAGATAAAACTAAAGAGTAAAAAATGTTCCTAAAAAATTAAATAGCAACCTATATCATGATGGTCAATATCTATATCATTTATCCATTCAAAAGGTTTTCCTTCATAAAACCAAACTTTAATTATTATTCATAGATTGAAAACTGAATAATTAATCTTTAATCACAGAAACTTTATAATTTAATCTGTATAATTAAGTTTAAACTTGGATAATTTATATTTTTTTACAGAAACCGAAAATTTTATAAACTGCAAAGAGCTGTAAAGCCAAAAAATCATTTCACAGCCTTCATTGGGATAAAACAAAAATATGAAGTTTATTTTAGACTTAACCCCTTTAAATTTTGTTTACATTTTATGCACTGTTATTATACAGCAGGTTGATTTTTTTAGAGCTGACAAATAACTAAAATTAATGAACATTAAAAACATTTTAAAAGTGAATGACATAACAAATATCGCACAGAAATATTTAAATGCAACTGTAAAAAAAAAAAAAAAAAAAAAAAAAAAAAGTACCTACAGTTTTTTAAACAACCCCACACAAAAAAAAATTTTTGAAATAAGAGTAATCACTATAATTAATTGCAGTTAAATAGAAAACTTCTTGAGCAAAAAGCATTCAAGCTGTTATTTTCCTGCAAAAGAATTCATTCTGAAATGCACATTATAAACTGTCAGAGCATATTATTATTATTCAGATGAAAGGAAGAATTAACTAAATTTTATACCAAATACACAGATAAGCTCTCATGCACAATTTACATCAGTCATTATAATGCAGGGTTCAAACAATCAGTGCCATATTAGCATACGAATACTACCAGAGACCCTTGCCAGTACAGAGGCTAATTATTTTGGCAAATTTACTCTTATTCTCTAGAAAGTTAGTGTAGATCCCTGCAAACAATTACTAACTGCATTTCAAATATCCCAGTTTACAACATAATAACAGATATACTTAATATTTAATTAATAGCAAACATACTTAATTAAAGTTTTTGTGAATTTACAACCGGATATCACCTAAATATTAAAACTAAACACTAAAGGTTTCTATACTTTTTTATATAATAAACAATTATTTTTTATATAATAAATTTTATATAATAAACACATTTTTATATAATAAAAACCTAGAACTTTTATTAGCAGAAAGAAAGAAATTTCAGTTACAAAATGTTAGTATGCATATTAAATTCAAAGAAATAAAAATCATTTAACAGCTTAATAACTTAATAATTTATTTTCAAGAAATTGCTGATAAAATATAACAATTATCATTAGCATTTCCTAGAGATAATCACATGTGAACAAACAAATCTCCAATCTTAAATTAAAATAATTGAATATTTAATTTTTTTAATAATAAACTCTTTACTTTTCAACTATAACAAAGCATTATTACCTTTCCTTTATTATGAAATTGAAGATACCTAAGCTTTTAAATTAAAAATAAATAAAGACGGTTTCCTTTGGACAGTTTTGGCAAAGGCCTTATACATTTAGCCCTCATATATTTTGCCATAATTAATTAAACAAATCATCATACTAAAGTATTACTAATGTTTCCTTATCTGGAAAAAAATCTTGCCATTAGAATTAACGCTACATAAATGTTTCTGAAGTTTTGCCCCACATGTAATGTAAATCACTTTCATTTACAGAATGCATCAAAAGTATTCACCTCTACTCTAAAATTATGCAAAATTATATACGTTTTCAATGAATCATACACAGGTTTCTATACTTCAAGAAGAAAATACATCCTACTTGATAATCAAAATATATCACTTTGATGAAACAAAATATTAAAAAAGACAATTATTACATAAACAACAACGAAACTATTTAAACTGTTATTATTGTGTAATAACTATGTTATTATTTCACAAGAATTTTAAATGCTTTGTAGAGAAGATGATTAAATTTGAATCCTTATACATATTTGGTATAATTTGATGAAAGCAAAAGCCATCAAGAAGTTCAATTCACCAGTCTCTATAATAATTTCAGTACAATAAAGTTTACGCAATATACGCAATATCCAAAAAACCAAAATTAATTCACAACAAATTCATAAAGTTCTCATTTTCTGCTGTACAGAATGTCAAAAATTCTCAAAAAAGATCTGAAACAGAATAACAAGTTTCATAAATAAGATACAAAATAACTTAAAAGCTGAACATACAGGCATTACCATAGTTCTATTGGAAGTTTATAAAAGTGAAGAACCACTTAAAAGCAAAATCTCTTATTCCGTACTTGAAGATATTTATATACACAAAGATCAACAGATTAAAAGGCCCCAATAGCAGCCAAGTGATTAAGACTGCTGAATAATGGTAGTTTGACTCAAATTTAAAACCAGATGAACCAGTTGGCTGCATGGTTGGTTAAGTCAGTTTCCTTTAGAAAACTCCTCCACAAAAGCATCCTTCCCTTTAGGCAGATAGCCCTGGTATGCTTTGCCATATTTGAGGAATCTAACCTAATTAAAAGGTTAAAAAAAATTGGGCTTCATTTCACTGATGACATGATTGAATAAGTAACGATTTAATAAATAAATACCTTATGAATTCTATTAACCTCTTCCTTCTACACTTAGATGTTATCCTTCGTCATTATTCTTCACAAACATTTTTCTGTTGCTTAGGAGCTCAGTTATTTAAAAGCTGTTATTATGAAAGGAAATTCCCCAACCTTTGTCACTGATACAGCTTTTTTTTTTTTTTAAAAAAAAAGGCATTTTGTTATTACAAAAAAACAGTCATTAAAAACAATCACAACTTTGTTGCTGTCTCATTTTCCTATTCAATTCATTATTCTGAAAATTATTAAAAGATCAACATAACGGAATATTAAATAATTACTATGCAATTATTCATTTAAAATTGCATTAAATAATATGAAATGTATTAATAAACAGTATATTAACATGTGTATTAAATAATAACAAATATTCTCATGTTCATGAGAATTGCTTACAGGCTTTAAGCAACTTATTTCAACTGCAGAAGACAAGTATAACCATAAACACTAGATTTTATGTTCCACGAAAAGCTTAAAACACATTACACTTGGGCTACGAAAAATGAAATATCTACATTTACGAATTTTATTTGCAATCAATTTCATCACTTTTATTTGCCTCAATTAAATATCAAACTTTTTTTGGAAATGGCTTTTATGCTATTCTGATAACTAAATGTGGCCCATGAACTCATATAATTGTCACAAAATGTACAGGACATAAAATGACATTACAGGAAATATTTTACAACTGTGATTTCCAGATAAAATCTTTCAAATATTATTTTATTGCTGGTATATACCTTTCAATTTTACCCAGCTGTTTCATTTTATCCATTCTAGCCAGCTGTTCTTCAGAAAAACAACAATTTAACTTAGATTTCAGATCCTCATTCTGTCTTTCTAAATCATGTAATTTTTTGCTCATAATTTTATTGTCCTTGTCTAATTCTTGTAACTTAAAACTCATTGCCTTATTGTGTTTTTCAAGCTCAAGAATAACTTTACTCATTGCTTTGTTGTGCTTTTCAAATTCCTGAATTTCCTGGCGCATTGATTCATTTTCACGTTTCAGAAGAGCTATCTGTTGGTCTCTTTCGTCATCTTCAGAGTCTTCTTCTTCCTCAGTTGAAGATGAGGATGATTCCTAAAATAAACGGCATGTGACACATTAATTATCAAGGTAACTAATGTTCCATATGTAACTTATTGATTAATAAATGTTTAAATTCTTTTAAATAAAGTATTAGTATTTTTCAAAATTAAATACAGTACAAAGTCCGTAATCTGGACTCGTCAGGACTTCGGTGATTCCGGATTAAGGTTTTTCCAGATTTTAGATCATCAATTTAAATCTGGTAAGATGGCATGCAAAAATTATAGAATTAAAAATATGAAACCATAATTTATGAAATAAAGAGCAATTATGATCTAAAGGGTATCAAAATTTACAAAAAAAAAAAAAAAAAAAAAAAAAAGCTTAATATTTATTTGTTTACTTTATTAAACATTTCTTTCAATGTAAAGTTGTTTAAGTTGCTTCGTTTTTTGTTCTAAGAGCGCATGCGTAAACATTAAACGCACATGCGTAGCATTAAAAGTGAATTCGTACATGCATATAGCATACTAAAAAAAAAGGTTGTGGCTTTGAAGCCCGGATTACAGACTTTGTACTGTATTAGGTAAAAGTATATTTGCAGGTACCCATTGGTGAAAATTGGTGGTACATGAATACCAAGTTTGTGCTATCCTTTGACCTGTTATTTTGGGTTTGTGTAGTGCAGATTTTAACACCAAAAATCACCGCTACACGAATACAAAAGAACAAATCAAAGAATTGCACAAACTCAATATCCTTGTACACACTGACCTACTTTCACTTAAAAACACATCACAGAATTGCAAAAACTTGTCATTGCACACTCCCTTGACTTTGTCCATGTACACATCGATGTACTTTCACTTAAAAAGTCAAAGGAGGTAAAAAGTATATTTACGAAACATTCAACTACCCAGGTTACTATAAATGAAACAACAACTTAGCGATAAACAAAACAACAACTTGACGATAAACGAAACAACTTACCAATAAATGAAACAACAACTTTGCGATAATACAAGGGGTACCCTTCAGTCTATTCTAACCAAATATTATACTGGGAATTCTAATATATTATTTATATAAAAATCCAAACATTTTATATTTATATATAAAATGTTCCTTCTCTCCTTTTTCCTTTATAATAAATTTACAAAACTATAAAACATAAGATATAATGAAAAAATGCAAAGATTCAATAAAAATTTAAAGATAGCATATCTAATTCTTATCCAAACAGGAAAAACACTTCAAATGAAATTCAAAAGCTCAATTCTTCTCAGATTTAGTTTACTACAGGTACTTTTGCAGCAAAATAAAATAAATAAAAGGAAATGTTCAAACAGCTTAGTAATAAGGTTACTTAAATGATTGATAATAATTCTGTATGATGCTGCATTTAAAAAAAGGACATTTGTTTCAAACATTCACATATATTTTAACCCTTGGCAGCATGATTGGTTTAATCCGGTCATGAGATTTTTTTGTCACTTGATATATATTAGATACTTGGCTTTTTTACTTTATTTGATGTAAATGTCATCTTGATAAATGTAAGTTTATGAAAATCCAGACTAATATAAGTAATGATACAAATTTAGTTAATAAGTGCCATTTAAATATAGGCCTTCATGACAGACACAAAAGCATGTATCACTGTTAATAACATTTTAAATGTCAAACACCATCTGGATATTCATTACTGAATCATTTAAATACCTATTTACAAATCAACCTAAAATCCTGTAGAGTAGATAGACAACAGTTTACATTCAAACAAATGTCTGAACACATCTTCAAGAATTCTGAATTTCTGCCCCATCCTTGAAGGATGTCTAAAACAGACAATACTATTAGAAGCATCGAGGAATTTTCAATAATAAAAACAGATGCAGTCTGTATTTTATATCTAGCATTTGTTCCTGCATAGATATCTAAACTCTAAGTATAAAAGGTCCGTGAATCCACTACAGCAAACATTTTAATACCGTACTTTGCAGGCTTACTGGGTGACGTACTCACCAAAACATGTATAACTTCTATACAAGTAAATCAAACACAGATCTTATAGGAGCAAGTTTATCATTTTTCCCCCTTTTTATAAGATTTCTAACATCATTGGATCTCGGGCAATGTAACAGAAATAAAAAACTCTTATAAGACATAAAGTCCGGTGGAATATTTCCACTCCTGGATTATAGATCATTCCGGATTATGGGTGTCCGAATTAACGACTTTTGACTGTACTTCCTTTTTGCGATTACAATACTTTACTTCGTACAAGGTAAATACGTTTCCGAGCAGTGGCGGCTCGTAATAAGGACTGTGGAACTGCAGCACCCCCTATTTCCACTTATTATTATTTTTTAATATTTAATATAGTGTGCCCTTTTGTCTTTAATTCTTTCTTTATACTTTTATAATACATAATCCTTAAGCTTAATGTCAGTTGCCATCCCCTACTTTGTGAAAAATTACGAAATTCTTTCTTCGGAACTGCGCACTTCACAGTTCCAACGACGTGGTGTTTGGCTGTTCTGCGCACAGAAAACAGCACGCGAGCCGGATAGCGAGAAGAGCACTGTCGCTCTTGCAGTGCCGGAATTCTGGCATGTTGTTGGAAACGTGATTTCTTTTTACTCCGCGCGTGTGGTATTCCTCCACAAGGTGGAACTTCATCATACGGACCATAAACAGAGTTCATGAAAATATGCAACCTTTAAAAAATTGCCTTACTGAAATTCAATCAACATCAAATGCAGATCAAACTATTGCAAAAGCAACAGGAATTTTTTTTTTTTTTTAAAAAAAAAACCTATATGATGATAATTTCAAGTTTTGGTTAGAGTTTTTTTATCAGATGCCTCATGTTGAAATAATATACGACTAAATGCAATCCAGAAAAATTAGTGTGTTATTTAAAGTTCATGAATATATAACAAATTTCAAACTGCTATTTTAGAATTAAGAAACTCAAAGTACTGTAAGAATTTTTCAAAGACACTGATGGCAGAAGCTAAGGAAATATGTGATTTTATACTATGTATTGATATAATGCACAAATATTCTTCCACTAAACACTTAGCAGTTGCTAAATTGTTAAACAAGAAATGCTTCGCTAGTTTTAGGAATGAACATTCTACAGAAGAAATAATTCTGACAAGTGAAGCATATTTAATGACTGACAAAGAAAAGCTTGAAACTGAACTAAAAGTATTCTATCGTAGGTTTGATAACCATGAATACTGCAAATTAATTGAGCTACTGAAATTTATCTTTGAAAATAATCTAGATGATGTTCTTAGTGAAATTACGAAACAGGTAAAAATTCTCGAGAGTTCCCATGACTACATCAGAGGCAGAGCCATGCTTTTCCACATTCAAAAGAATGAAAACTTTTCTAAGAAGCACTAGGAATTCGGAAAAACTAAATGCGCTTGCATTGATTTCAATAAAGAAAAATCTCCTCAGTTGTCATCTAGAGATCAAGGAGAAAATTATTGATCTTTTCACGCAAATTAAAACAAGAAGAATGGATTTCATCTTTAAATAAATAGGCAAAGATTGAACTGTAACAATTTAGGTTAAAGTAATTAAGAAATGTTTAATTTTGTTCTTGTAAGATTTCATGAAGTTTCAAAATAAATTTTCTTTTTAAACTCGTACGTGTTTATTTCCTTTTAGACAATTTTAAGACAAAGGTTAAATTTTTTTGGAACAGCACCCCCACTAATTTTAGCTACGAGCCGCCACTGTTCCCGAGGTTCCCGAATTATTACGAATTACGGTAATAATTTGTTCCTTTTTGCGATTACAATACTTTACTTCGTACAAGGAAGTAAAACTAATCAGAAGTTTAAATAATGCAAAAATCCCAATTTTATACTTTTTTAAGTCCTTTAAATTCGTCTACAAATACAGACTTGAAGTCTGCTGGTTAATATGACCAAACAATACACGCACAAAAAATTTTTAAATATTTCTCAACCTCATAGCTATCATCAAAAAATAACTTTTATATGTTTCATAAAATAATCAGAATATTCTCTATTCTGCAAAATCAAAATGACAACATTTATTTAGAGAATAATCTTACTTTTTGTAAATAAGTATGTTTTTAAAAAAAGGTGAAAAGAAAAAGGGAAATATAAGTTTTTTTAACTATCTGGTTTTATCATGTTTAAAATGTAGAGTAAATTTTATAATTTATATTTTAAACAATAATTTTATAATTAACAATTTAGCAATGCTTAATAATTTTATAATTCATATTTTTAATTTTATAATGTACATTTTAAACATGATTTTTTTTATAAGTTCCATGTTTAAAATACACCTCAAATATTATTTTTAGAAGTATATTTACCGGTTCTGCTTTGACTTTCCGAGGATGTTTACTTTTACGTCTTCTAGGAGAAACATTTTCTTTTTGTGAATGGGAACCACCAGTAGAAGAATGTTTTCTTTTCTGCACTACAAGAGAATCAGAAGATCTTGTATTTCTTTTACGTGCATGAGATTTTTTCTTTGTGGAGGAAGCATTTTCTTGATTTGCTAGACTATGCTTTCGCCTCTTCTTTGGAGATGGCAAAGAATCAACAGATGGTGATCTTTTACGTCTGCGAGATGCCGCTGGTTTTTCTTTTTTCTTTGGAGATTCTACAGGCTCTGGAAATATAGTTGGAATAGCATTTGGCTTCAACTTTCTCCAACCATCTTGTCTATGAAGTTCAAACTGACTTTCTTCAAAATGTATCTGTAATAAAATTAATATTCAAAAAAATTATTTAAAAAGAAAGCAGGAAAAACTGTTTATTGCTTTCTTCCAATCAAAAAATATATCAATATTTATTAAAGAAGAGACAACATATAAATCACAGTAGCAGAAAATTATTGATTCAAAGTATTTATTACAGGGATAAGTTCTCATCATTTGGAGTACTCTTCTGTTACTGAGAATGGATTCAGAAATGTATGTATGCATGCTTGTATGTGCACATACATGTGTATACACATATACGTACATCCATAACACATGCACAGATACATATATTTCTTAATTCGGTCCCAATAACAGAAGAGAAATTTGAAATGATATTTTTTTTTATCATTTTGAAATGATATTTGTATCGAGTTTTTAGTTACTGGTTTAAAAAAAAAAAAAAAACTACAGAGCTATCTTTAAAAGATGCTTTGGGGCAAAGGAAGAATTCAGTTCTAACTAAACAAAAGTATTTAAATACTATATATATAATAATATATAATGATCTTTTTCTTCACAAATAAATCCTGAAGATAAACAGGATACTCTAATATAATTCTATTTGTATTATTAAAATAAGAAAGAAAATCCCTGAATTTTATGAAAATAACTTTTGTTAAAAGTTTTATGAAAGCATTTATGGCAAACGGACTGATACACAATTACAACAATAGAGTAAAAATACCAGTAGCAGGCCACTTAAGAGCATTCAATTATTTATCATTGAAACTTTAAAGATGCTTTGTATGAATGTAAAAACAGTCATGTCAACAAAAAAAAAAAAAAAAAAAAAAAAAAGCTCAAATTTATAATATATATTTAAAAGAACTTAATTTTTTACGTTCCAAAAATGAACAAATTAAACTTTTTATGTACCTATAGTGGGCAAACCTGAAGCAGGCTATTCAAATATATAAGACAGAGATGGGTAAACTTTTCCGATCACGGGCCGAAAATAGAAAAAAAAAGTTTGGCAGGCCAAGATAAATTTTTCTAAAATTTTAATATACAAGTATTGAAATTTAAATATGTTAATGAGATGAATGAAATTGTGATTTCAATTTTAAAAGTTCCTTATATCGAGGCTCGAAGTGAGATGTACTGATTCTAAGAAACGAGGCTAAATGCTCATCTGTCAGTCTACTTCTGAAATAATTCTTTTCTAAGGTTCATAGTAGAAAACACTTGTTCACATATATAAGATGAAGTATACATAGCAGTGATTTTCTGGGCGTGAGATATTAAATTTGGAAAACTTGCTTTCGATAACGATTTGTAAAACTCTAACTATGGCATATTTAGAAGCAACTGCTTGACATGATTGTCAGATTGCAACTCAATTAATTCAAGCTGCAAATCTGACCTCACTGCTTTACAATTTATGTTGAAAGGCATGGTAAAAATATCCAATTCTGTTTGAATGGCACTGAAATCTTGAAATCTGCGTTTAAACTCGAAATGCAGTTTTTTTCAAGCCCCATCTATAATTCTTAAGCTTCTCTTCATTTACTGAGGATATTGAATTTAACCTCGGGAAATAAGAGATCTTGTTCTTAGCTAGCTGCCCAGCTAACAGATTAAGTTTTAGTTTAAAAGCTTTCAGATGAAACCAGATTATCGTTGATAAATTGATTTTCCACTTGCATCTTGACAGTCAAGTTGTTCATATGACAAAGAAGATCTATGAAAATGAAATTTCAAGTCTGAAATCCATTCTGTATCTTATAACATTTTGCACTCCGCAAATCAGTTTTTCTCATGGAAGAACGACATGATGTTGTCTTCCAGCTGCCAAACTCAGTCGGAAACACATCCTGCACTTACTTCCGTGTAATACAGTACATCAGTGTACTTAGATTGCATGGACTGGAGAAAATCTCAAAATTACATTTGAGTAATCCTACGAGATCGAATAGTATCTACAAGCTGTACAACTGCATCAAGCTCGGCCTTCATATTCAATGCAGATTTACACAGAGCATCATGAGGTATAACACAATGTAGAAAAACAACATTGTTCCCGGGATAGTTTCAAACTTAAAAGCCCTTCCTGAAATTCACGAAAAATATCACATCCCGTTGTAGTTCCCTTTAAAGAATGCATGCATGCGAGTTCCTCACTAATTTCAAAGTTCTCATCAATAACTCTTATAAATAATACTAATTGAGCAGTATCATTTACACCAATGCTTTCATTCATAGCCATAGGGAGCAAAATTTAAACTGGCTAATCTTTAACTGAGATGTCAAATTTTTATCGACGTCTTCGATTCTAGAAGTTACCGTTTTCCGAGATAAGCTCACAGTCTCAAAATTATTTTTCTTGTCTAGACATAGAACATCACAAACTTGGAGCATGCATTGTTTAATGAACTCCTCATCACTGAGTGCTTTATTATTTTTAGCAATATTGTATGCTACAATGTAACTTGCATGTGTAGCTGCTTCTTGGATCTTCTTTAAAACATTTTGTTGGCCTGATAATTTTTTACAAAGACTTTCTGCATTTTGTTTTCTTTCATATTCGGACACTGCTTCATAATTGGAATTCTTATGCTTAGATGTAAAATGACGGGAAATGTTATAGTCTTTGAAGACTGTTACAGCTTCATTGCAGATGCGACACACTGGTTAATCTTTTACAACTGTAAAAAAATATTTCCAGGTCTATTCATCATTAAAGGCATGGTACTCTAAACCAACTTTACATTTTTTAGCAGCCATTTTAGGATTGAAATATTTTATGTATAACCCAAACAAGCACTAGCTATGCTATACTTTTAATAATTTCACTACTATTCACAATGATGCTATATGTCCGCAATTTTTCCATATGCAAATCAATAATATTAGAATACTTGCTTCAAAATAAAACGCAGCTGGCTGCAGCTTAAAATGTGCAGTCTGCCGCACGTGAGGTCTAATTCACCTACATTGGATTCCCAAGTATCTGCTCCCCGAGAAAGAGATAACGCTTGTTGACGCCAATCTACGGCTGTAACTAATAAAAAAACTTCCGATTTTAACACTTTACCAATTGAAAGCTGTCTGTGCTTGCTATTTCCGTTGATTTATGTTTGTAGAACAAAAATAAAGAATGTAAAAGGATTACCAGTCCTTTAAAAAAAAAAATAATGTTTAGCCAAAGTAGAAAAGGAGATGATATATAATATATAAATATATATTTCTCTTAATATGCCTCAGACCAGAAAATTAAAATTCTATCCGCGGGTCGGATAGAATCTTCCAGTGGGCTGGAGTTGGCCTGCGGGCCGTAGTTTGCCCATCCCTGGTATAGGATCTAAAAAGGAAGTTATATTTTTTCACATAGATTATCACTAATATAATAAAAATAATAAAAAGCTTAACTAATTACACAGCTAAAATGAGCAAGTTTTAATCTTACTTCATTTTAATTTTTCTTTTCGAGTTATATTTCAAAGAATTTCATTTAACTGGCGATCTTACATTTCAAACTATAATACAGTAAGTAAGCACTTGGAAATGTTATATGGAAAACTTTATTTTCCATTAGAATAAAAGTACTTATTTTTTGTTGACTTCAGTCCTTAACAAATATGACCTTGTATTTTAATTGTTGAACCCCACACTACATTTTTTTTTTTTTTTTTTTTTTTAGTGTGTGTGCTTTTTTGTTTCAATTCTAAAAATGATATACTTTAAAGCTGTTCTTTTCTGCAGTTCAGATTCTTTCAAGACAAAGGTATGTGGCTCATCAGCTCCATAATCATATTAAATAAATTTTCCTTTCATGAAAGGCCGAATCTCTCAAATAATAGATTCAGAAAACTTTTCAAGCCTCTTTTCATGTGTTATATCGGTATTTATGTATTATCCCATCGATCGTGAAGCTGCAGCTAAGCAGCACAGTTTAGAACCAATTATGAATAAATGTGATGTCACAACACACTTATAACAAAGCTCACATATGCTTTCATTGACCCTAATTGATCCTTGATAAGTTCCTTTTCGTTTTTATGAACAAGGAGATAAATTAACATTTATTGCTATATTTTCCCTTGCATTAAAAAGAGAATTATTTTGACGTCTGTAGGATCACATTTGCGACTGCACTCCGATTCATTTACAGCTAGTCGAAATACTTAACATCTGCTGAATAGGAAAAGAAAAAATGGCTCTAGTGTAGAATTGGGTGCCCCTTCGATTAGCGACAATTTTTTGTAACATTTTGATCTTATTTCTGGTTACCATGATAGTGTGTAACTTTGCTTTAGCTTCCTGATTTTTTTTAAATAAAAATAGATTGATGTGTACATGGACAAAGTTAAACAGTGCGCAATGTCTAGTTTGTGCAATTCTGGGATGTTTTTTTAAGTGAAAACAGATTGGTGTGTACATGGACACAGAGTTTATGCAATTCTTTGACTTTTTATTTTGGTTCTGTGTAGCGGCCATCTTGAAATTGTGTCTTCCTGGCGCCAATCTTGGCGTCAAAAAAAAATCGCCAAAAAACAAGGGGCACCCAATTGTAAACTATTACCGAAAAAATTAATATGGCTCACAAAACCGTAATAACTTGAAACAACACCCGCAGGAAGTTTGAAGAAACGGCCACTGCAGTCTTCATAAAATTATGGCCTCCAGGGCAAACCAGTATGCTAGGGACATTCGATAACTCACAGAAATTAAATATAAGCAAATTAGCATGAAGCTTTTATGCCTGTAAGGCCCTTTGAGCAAGTGGCCCAGATTTGCCTGCAATGGAAAATACTATTCTAACCTACACCGTACATAAAAACCATCAATTTTTAAAGAAGTGTCTTGTAGTTCAAAGTCATTAGTGTTACTTTTGATTCATTACTTCTTTCTATGATAGTATTTGTAACCTGTTCTTCCTTATTATTCATAATTTACTACAATATTATCCTTACCATTTTAAATGCACTAGAGTACTAGTTATGTATATTTAAGGGTAAACCCAGGAATAAAGAAATCAGAATTCTTGCTGTCAGCTGATAATTTGGGATTACAATAGGGGGATTTGTTAACCCTAGCTAGTAACAAAAAAAATGAATTACATTTTTTTTGGGGGGGGGATAATGCATGAACATGTTTTCCTAAAGATTGTTTAATAAAGCTTACTAAAAAATTATACCAAAGGTTTTGGAAATTATGGCTCATAAAATTACCATAATTTAAAAACTGTTTAAACATGGAAAACAACTCAACTTCTTGCATTTGAAAAATATTTATGACAAGCTGAACCAAACTTGGATTAGATGCCGTGCTTTCATCACCAAAATTCAGCACACAATAACCAATAATGAAAAATAAGAAAAGTTGTGCGATTTGAATCATCAAAATCTATTAATATTTCACATTTACAATAAAAGGAAATTAATAAAATTCACGTTACACATAAAATATAAATCCCAACTTGAAGGAAACCTTGAGCCTGATGAATGTAAAATACTACACATCTTTACTTCTTAAAAATGCATTCTTTTTGTTAGCATTCTAAAAATACCACTACATAAGCTTGCTGTAAAAACATAAGAATTTAAATAAATTAAAATTGCCGTTTAAAGATGATACATACGGGAAAAAAGAAATCAAACTATTTCAAATATTCTAATGCACACTGTTATAAATACTGCAAAAATAGTTAATACAATTACAACATATAATGATTCGAATTTCAAAACGCACTGCTAAACACGGTTCTATGATAAATATGCAAAATATCTGATAGCATAAATCGATGAAGAAACTGTTAATTACTTCACAAAGTCTTGTATAAGGTGCTGTTTTAGTAATATCCAATTTACAATTAACAATCCACTTTTCCCTTCGTGATTTATCTCGAGGAAAGCGGAATAATCTTACATTTTTCCTAGATGAATTACTACAGTTTGGAGCTGCGCAACCAACCATAATTTTTAAAACATGATCTATAGTGAGGCTACTTCATCGGCCTCTGAGCAAACATGGCAGTTTAAAGGTCCCCCTTAGCGTCGGCTCCAGAAACTGATAACGCAGTTCATTCACACATTCACCATAAAATCACCATTGTCGTAAATAAAAAAAAAAATTATATGAAGATAATTAAATCATGTTTCTTCTTACCTCACACAATTTAGCATAAGGTCCAGGTTCCGCCGCTAAACCAGAACTGTCCATCCACTTTTTCCTTCGAGTTTCTTCGCTGGGAAATTTGAAGAAACGCATTTGTTTCATTCGTGATGAGTTGGAACATTTTGCAGCGGCACACACAACCATTATATAAAATCTTCTTTTTCAATTCTGACAAAGCGATAAAAATGACAACCGGAACCTAAGACAGACGTGGTCGAAAATGGCGTAGAACGCCTGACGTCTGTCAGGCTTGTCAAGAAGGAAGAAGGTGGTGGGGTGGTAGGAGAAATAAACTACAATCGAAGTACAAATACGTACTTTCTCGGGATTGAAGCATCCTTTTTGCAATCAAAGGGGGTGCGGCTTATGTGTTTAATACTGTTACACTTACAGCGCTTTCACAGTGGCAACTTTTAAATGCTTTACTTTATTATATTCTTCTTCGTGATTTTTCTCTTTTTTTTAACGATATTCGGCATTAAAATTGTTTATAAGATTTTATGAAGTTTATCTTGGGAAAATTCCTTCGAGTATTTCAAATAATTTTTGATTGAAAATAAAAGTGCGAAATGAAATCTCCTTAAAATCTCTTTTTAATGTAACTACTGGAAACTTGTGAAAAAGTCCTATTCACTTTAATATTACTCTGAGTGCAGTTAAGTAATATCATTTTATTCCGTTTAAAACAAAATGCATTTTCAAAACATAATATCTCTCGTTGTAAATATTCTCAAATAGTGTAAGAAAGGAAAACATATAATTTTTCGTAATTAAAACATTTTAATGACAAACTATATCTTAAATGTATATTGCTTGGTAAAAAATGATTGAATGTTTAGATGTTCTCGATTTCCCAGAGAAAAGCACAAATATCCATCTGACATTCTCCATCCTTAACATTTTTTTACTCATACTAGACTCTTCAGTTCACTGACTTGGACTTTTTCCACCAGAAACTCACCTTATTCGTCGACTGATGGCGGCCACTTGACTTAAACTTTCGTCTTATTTTCTCCATACTACTCATTTTGTTTTACCCATGGTCTTCACCAGATGCAGAGTAAAAAGAGGCGCTGCTTTCTGAAACTCTAATTCTCTATATGTTCTTAGTAGAATGTTTTAAATATCAAAGAGGATTTCTGATACCCTAAAGTATCTTAAATGTATCTTTTTCAATAATAAATGATTGAATGTTTTGAATATCAAAGAGAGGCCAGTTCAGCCAGTTCTTATGAAAAACCTGGGTCTCTTTTCTTCGTTCGTCAATGGAAAATAAGCAACAATCTGATAAACAGAGAGCTAATCAGGTTTTATGTAGTCTGAAAAGCTTCATGATTAGTTTAATGTCTTTCACTTTCTTAAAAATACTGAAAACCCTGATACGAATGAGCCTGATAGTATGACTATGCATTTTTTTAAATAAATCTGAATATCTTGAGAAATCAAATAATGTGGATACAACGCAACACTAATCTCTCATAGCAGCAGAAAACATGGAATGCATCTCGTATTTGGGTGAAATAATATTCAAATCTAGCTATGCTTACACTGATTTCCTTAGATCTTCCTTTAACGATTAAGTTCTTCTTAATTATTTTAATAAAAGATACAAATTCAAACAAATCTTCCATGTAAAATTAGAGGAAGTTATCTGTATACGGGTTCTTAAAATGCATAAATCTCATAATTGTGTAAAAATACGCCTTACATTCGTTCTAAATTCAACTAGTCTGTCTTACAGATGTCACTGTCAAGTTCGGCAATCCCAGAATCTATATGATTCAGGTCATAACTAAATAAGGACCATAATGCCAGTGTAACTGCCAGCTTTGCAACACTTCAGGCTCTTTTTAAACTATGTGTGGCGACATCATTTGCAGTATTGAAGAGCCATCTATCAAACTCTTCGTGTTATGACTTTCCTTTTGCTCAAATCGCAAGAGTAAAAGTTTCGAATAAAAATAAAATATTAGAGTTAGTTTCCAAAAAGCTTGTTATCATCTGCTTTATTCCTGCTCTGTCGTTAATAAATTTATTTAAAGAAGTTTGTTCTTTATAGCATACTGTTAATACATTTGTCCTGATCAACGAATCTCCACTTGGTGACCGCTTTCGTAATTGATTGATTGCGATTTAATGTCGACAAATGAGAATGCTGAAACAGCATCCGAGAAGTCAACAGTTGCCAGGTTAAATCTAAAACTTCGTCCTTTTTGGAAACACGACTCCCAAATAGAGTCTCTTCAGAACAAATCACAATTCTGTAATGCTGGAATTAATGTTGATCAAACTAAACATGATTATGTAACCAGTTCGATCGAAGCAGGGATATTGTCACAAGTTGCTGATATTCTCCTCAAACCACCAAACGACGGCAAATATCTGGCCATTAAAAAGAGCCTTATTGAAATTTTTGCAATTCTGAATCACAAAAAAAGAGAAACTTCTGACTGAATTGAAACTGAGTTGATAAAAACCAACCCAACTTCCCTGCGAATCGGACAGATTGGCGATGGCGCATTTGCTGTTTGAATTTTTGAAAACTTTGTGAATGCAATGACTACTGCTTGATATGCGAATCATTTTGTCTGTAAGCAGAGATGATTTTTCCAAACTATCGGTAATGGCTGACAAGATAGGGTAACTAATCCACCTCAGGTTGCTGGCATTTTGTTTTCAACATCGGATAACAATATCGCTCAAGATTTATACAAACAGATATCAAACTCATCACTGTAAATAGCAGGAATGTGTAGACATAGAGGTTCCAGCCTCCAAAGACAAAACTACACACCTAACTAAAGAAATCGTTCCAAAAATAATAGTGACACAAATAATTGTCATTTTTACCAACGCTTTGGGGAGAGAGCTTACAAGTGCACACCGCCATCTAAATATCAGGTTTTTGAAACAGGAAAACTGTATCCCCATCTTTCCAAGTAGCACACGACGTTGCAAAGACGTTGCAAACTGGTCCGAGAGGTTGCAAAGTGGCCGTGGTAACTTTTACGACGTTTTTACAACGTTGCAAAGAAGCAAAATATTTGCCGTTGCATCTTGGTTATTTCTCGACGTCACTAAAACGTCATATGACCGTTTTTAGACATGGTCGTTTTAGCATCATTTTCATAGTTCATGAGCGTTACTTTTAGAATGAAACGAGACTAAAGCTGCCCTTTCAAGAATCTGAAGTCCGCATAAGATTTATTTTGCGATGTTTCATTACTTTATTTCATCTAAATATATTAACCTAAGGTAGATTCATCTAATGAAATATAATTTAATATATATATATATACTTGAATTATTAAATTTAATTAGTATTAAAACTACGTGCTAAATTATTGTTTAAAATTTTGAAAAAATAATTAATACTTAAAATATTTTTTTTATAAATATTATAGCAAAATATTTAAAAATGAAACTAATCTATACAGTAAGTTGCATTTTATGTTCTATAAGTAGTTATGCATTTTATATATTTAAAAAAATTATATTTCTGAAATCAATGCAAATCACATGTTAGCAATTATTTCACTGCTAAAATATGACTTTATTTATTATTTTTAAGTAAGATTTAATTAATAATAATAGATTTAAGTCATTTGTTTTAATCCCGGTCTTTCGTTAATAAAATATTTAAAGAAGTTTATTCTTTATAGTATGTTGTTAACACATTTGTCCTTGATCAGCGAATCTGTACCATACATCACATTGCTTTAAATCCGAAATGTATCGAGCAGTTATCTTTCTCAGAAAATTTGCAGTAATTACTCTGGGAAAGGAAATCGTCGCTGCGTTAACTTTACTTCCTATATATGTGAATGTTATGATCACCCGCTTCAATTGTGAAACATGATTCATCACTGAAGGCAATGCAGTTCCTGTCAGAGGCCAACCAAAATGCTCAATAAAAGCTCCAGTCTAAATGATGTTGTCGATGTTTGAGTGGTGAAGGCAAATAAATGTCTTAAAAGAGGAATGCGCGTAACCCTTATAAGGTATTTCTCCCACTTCCCTAGCGTGCCTTCGTGGTGTAACGGTATCACGCTGGGCCGGTATTACAGAGGTCCGTGGTTCGATTCCCGGCGAAGGCGGTTGCACATTTTTAATCTTTTCTGCTTCCAATTAACCTAATGACTCTACACCCTGACGTAGCCAAAGGGGTCTGAAATGATAAAACGCACCACAGGTGGGACGGAAGAAGCTGCATCACATTATATTATTAGCAATCATGATGTTGTAGCAGTTTGACTTCTTGCAGCATCAACAGGTCTTATTTCGCATCTGTGAATCTTGGCCTACCAGAACCTTCATTTTATTGATATGCACCTTACAGCAACCTTATCTGCTAGCAGAATTGAAGCAGCAACAGAGTATGTTTATTAAATTAAGTGAACAGGCAGAAGCTGTGGTCCATCATCAGAGATGACAGCCAAACATTCAAATCTTTCACTGACGGCGATTTTATAAAATACTGTTTGTGCTGAAAAAATTAACTATGGATGTGTAAAAGTATTTCGGAGCATTTCACTGTCCTGCAACACGGTCGTTGAAAGAGTAACTGAACTAATATAGGTATAAGTCCTTGCGGGAAACCAGAAATTCACCATAAGTCGTTAAAGTGTGGCAAAAGCTCTAAGCTCTGCCCTAATTTTCATGGCAAATACCCTTAGGACCTTCTTCCCCTCTTTCCTTAACACTAAAAGCTACACGATAAAGCTTTCGGCTCGACTGGTATTTTGCTTGCTCTCATGCCACACAGACTCTATACACTTTATTTATACACTGGACTGGTATTTTGCTTGCTGTCATGCCGCACAACACTATACAAAAGAAGGTATGGATGTTTGTAAAAAACATCCATACCTTCTTTTGTCTGCATTCGAACTAGAGTCCAGCGATACCATCCACAGCATTAACCTCTACACCAGCGGTGCCCAACCTTGTGCTCGCCGATCGTTTTGTATGTGCTCGCCAGTCCGATTAGGTACTAGGAACAAAAATATTTTAAAAATAACCATTCATTTATATTTCTAAATTGTTTAAACAGGGTAAGCATTTATAGTCATAAGAGATTGTAAGGATCTTAAGTTTTACTAACGTTTATTTTATTTTAAATCTTTACTATCACTTCTTATTTTCTACTTCCGGCCAGAATTATAAGCGTGAAGGGGTTTATGCAAAGTTGTCTGGCGAACGCCAAGTATTTAAGTGTGGCCTTTTTGCCAAGCAGAAGAGAGGAAGCCGTGAGTTCGAAGCAG